GGTTTTAATTCCCCGTGGTAACTGGAAGTTAGTGCCAGGAGCGTTGCCGCGTCTCTTTCCTGGCTTGCCGGAGCACATATCTAAGCCAAGAACGACGACATGCACGCGAAAATCACCGAAAAAGCGGAACGAAATCGGCTTGGAAGCATCGGCGGAAAGTGCGTCTTGTTCGAGTGGCTCGTTTGGAGAGGCCTCTTTGTCCTTAGGTGATTCGCTTGGAGCAGTGGGCATCACGCCACCACCTAGCACCTCAGCAACGAACTCCTCCGGTGTTTGTCTGAACGAACTGGTGACAGTGCCGTTACCTAGTAGGGACTGGAAGCTTGAACTCATCGTCGATGAATGTTCTGGGCAAACTTGCGGTGTTTTTTTCGACAGGCGACTTGTGGCAGGGGAGCTCAAAGTGAGCAAGGCCGTTATTGTGAAAAATGATGGTAGCTGTGTTGTGAGCGGTTACAACAAGATGCAAAAGCAACTGCATAAGACTGTAGACAGCACTGCTAGCGTCGAGCACCTGCTCAATGAGACAGATAGCTTGAAAATCTGTTCAGGCATTCAGGTAGCTCACACTGGTGTGACAGGAAAATTAGAAAATGTCCATCACAAGCTGTGTTCTGTCCTCACAACCCGACCTGGATGTGCTCGGTGCCTACGCCTCCAAAGGCAAATGCGAGCAAGAAAGCCAATGAAGGCAGCGGTGAACAAAAGCAAAAAAATGCGAAACTTGACCAAAAAAGTTTTCCGAGCTGCAGCTGCAAGAGAGAAGTGGAAGCAAGAAATCACACTGCTCAAACAGGAGCTTGCGAAGGCTTCCTACCAAGGAATAGAAGAAGCTTGAAGTGGCCTTCCTCACTTGCAACGCCTGGCATTCCTGACAGCACTGAAGTCACTCAAAGCAAAAGCTCCGTTTGGCATGCGGTATAATTCTGAGTGGATTTTGAACTGCTTGATGCTGAGAATTTCAAGTCCACGGGCATACAAGCTGATTAGCGAGATGAAAATGTTGCCGCTGCCTTCTCTTAGCCGCTTGGCACAAGAAAATCACGAAAACAATAACGTGCGAAGCATGCTGTGCGTTGTTCACAGCTTCTCCCGATCAGTTCAACTCCGAGGAAACAGCTCAACCAGAGGTGCCTGACAGAGTTGAGGTCATTCAAGCCAGGATGCCTTCGAGAGGCCTCATTTAGGCTGTACGCATTAATTAAGGAAGTAGAAGAGGTTGTGCACGATACGCTTGAAACGTCGGCAGTGTTCGGGGATATTTTCTGGATGGTATTGGACAGGTTTCATGCGACTGCACTGCCTGCAATTGGTTGTAATGAGCACCATGAATTCCTCACCGCAAAGATAATCAAATGCTATTGTTTGATGTGCATGCACTTCTTCTCTCGAAAGAAGAACCGTGAACTGCTTGTCACGGAAAAAGTTCAAAATGCAAGAAAAAAAGCTAAGCTGCTTTGAGCTGCCTTTCTTGCTCAGTGAACGATGCAATACTATTCTGTATGTGCAAGAAAATATATGTTCCTTCTGAATATGCCATTTTTACGTTCTCAGTATTATTATTCTCACCATGTTATCTTCAAATAAGATTCACGGGAATAGGAAAGGAAAAAAACACCGAAATCAGATTGACGAGTCTGTTCGGTAAACGGCGCATGACTATGTGGCATCAGAAACAAGCACTATGCTTTTAAAAAGTTTTACTGCATCTACGTTTTCTTTGAAGGGTGTCTTTTTTTTTTTTTTTACAGTTATGCTCGCGCGAGGCCGCCTATGCCCACATAAGAATGTACTGGCGACGGTAGCTATAGATGGAGCCCAGACACGTAATTCCACCAGATGAAAATGGGCGCAGCAACAATGAAATGCATGTATACGAAGAAACTGCTGCTTTGGCACGAACTGTTCCGCCAGCAAAGCGAAACGCTTTGAAATGCGAGCGGAAACCTGGCCGCGCCGCACCGCGTTTCCTCCGGTGTAGCAGACGACGCGCAGAGTGCGGAGCAAAGCATGCCTACAGCGCCCCTAGCGGCCGCGACACGCTATGCGGCCGCGCCGGATAGTGGGCGCCTATGGGAAGCTGTGAAACTGAATTGTTCTAAAAACGTTGGTGGCAACCGCGTAATAAAATGTGTACCCATGGTGATATTACGGTAAAGGTCAGATTTCAGTTCTCTATTGTAGTATTAAAATCCGTTGCGCTATACGTTGGACCCGATACAATTATTTTTTTTCTTTTTCTAGAGGTTATGCCCCTCCCTCGCTGTTTCTCTTTTTTGAGGGGGGGGGGGGGGGCGCTTGACCAGAATGCATATTTTATAATTCGTTCATTACGTTCCTCTCCAGCAGTGGCGCACGCTCAACATTGTTTCACCAGTCTTAGCATTTGAAATGTGAAAGTTCCTTCGCGTTTTCTGTCCTAACGACAAATTAGGCACATTTTAGACTGGTACTCGGACAACATTACTTACCCCGTTTGACGTTTAAACCTGAATTGTATAGAAAAACTATAACACAAAAGTAAATTACTTGAACCAATTTGAGAAAGAGAATACAAAAGAAAAGTGCCGCAGCTCACTATTATGAAACCTAAGAATGAGCGTAGCGTGGACACCCAGTGATTCCCGTTGCGCTGTTATTGCTTTCTTTTTATTGTTATTGGTGCGGCGAGTTCTGTTATTGCAATGTGCGTTGCATCGTGTGGTTTTGACGTTATGTCACGTGCTGTAATGTGTATTGACGATTATATGCTGTTATACTGTGGTTGCGTTTTTGCGCGCGGAAGAGGCAGTTGGGTTGTTCTAGCGCTTGGACGTGGCGCGGCAGCTGCCATCTCACGCACGGTGGGTGGGGCGTTCCCACCGCGGTGGTCTAGTGGCTAAGATACTCGGCTGCCGACCCACAGGTCACGGGTTCGTATACCGGTTGTGGCGGCTGCCTTTCCGATGGAGGTGGAATAGTTGTAGGCCCATGTGCTCAGATTTGGGTGCACGTTAAAGAACCCCAAGTGGTCGAAATTTCCGGGCCCTCCACTATGGCGTCTCTCTTAATCATATGGTAGTTTTGGGACGTTAAAACTCCACATATCGATCATATTGACAGCGGGTGGGTTAGCCTGGTGCACTGGAAGGCACTTGCGCTTGCTTTTCTTAAAGTTCGCTTACCTGCGCTGAGGAGTTCTGAGCTTTAACGATTCCGAACTTCTGTTTTCGCCGCTTACGTTGTGCAGGTCCTCAATGAGCCTTCACTACAGGCGATGCACAGGCTGATGCCGCTAGGCTTGTCGCACTTGACGAGCAGCGACTGTTTGCTGAGCCTTCTGCTCGGGATTTCAGTCATTTCAGTGGCGTCGACGCTGTTTTTCCAGGAACGGTTGCCAAACGGCGCGCGCTGATCAGGCGCTAGAGAATTGGTGGTTGAGGAACAATCACGCACCTGGCGAAGGGGGGGGGGGCTGTTAATGCGGCGTTAGATTCAGGCGCAAGTTTCTAAATTGTTTCTAGCGATATCAAGTTAATATATACAGATTAATTCGTAGCCATTTCTGTCAATCATAATATTTTAGACTTTGTTCGTTTGTTCTAACCCGGTTTCGAGCATTGCTGGACTTTTCTTGGGTCTGTACTGAGGGTTTGTACTGAGGGTGATCACGCCACATTATTGGGATGGACGACAAGCCGGACCCCAAAAGTGCTACGCACTTTAAAGGCAAGTGTGCCACTCGATATATACATGCCGGACCCGTGGAAGCGTCAAGCTGCACACTCGGTATCCTCATGTGGAACATCCAGTGCGAAATTGTTATTGCCTTCAATTATCACCACTGCAACGTGGCTATCGGAAATAATAATAAACAATCATAGTTATTACGGAATAGGCGTTGTTTCTATTCACGACGAATAACTGTACACTAGAACAAAGCGCTAAATGGTTGTGTTCATTAATAGCATGGATGCCATTAGAAGATACCTTCTTTAGTATTGACTCAAAAGCGTATACTCTCAAGCTTCCAATGCTACTTCATCGATCAGAAGGTATGGCGGTATGAAACGGACAGTAAGGCGAAAGAAAATAAAAAAGTACAACGAAGTTCATAGGTAAAAAAAAAAGGAAGACATGCACCGAAATAAAGGTATGCACCGTAAGTGTGAATAGACCCTCTAACGATGAGACACTGGAGCTATAAACCCAAGGTTGGTCATAGGTAAATACTGGAAATCCTAACATCATAGCGTAAAGAAGCCTTTCTCTATAAAAATACGGCGTCGTTGGCATTTTTTTAACGAAATATCTCAATGGGCACAAGGAAGACAATTCACTATTTAAGATGAATAATTGGTTAACATTACAACACTAAATTTTTTCCGGTAAAGTTACAAGTGCGCGCAACTGTGTCAAAACTATATTTTGTAGGTAAACAAGACGTGACCGTAAATACTTATTGGCACCTGTTTTTCTCATACAACTGATTAAAAGAAATTGTTTTTTTCCCTAGAGCTATCGCTGAGTATATAAAACTACTTACTAATAAAAGCTTTTCAGTCCGAAGAAGTCAAAAACAAGTCATCTAAACCTGAATCCTCTGTTTTACGCAGCCGTCCTTGTCTGTGGCTGTTTCTTCGGTGATCATCCTCGTGGTGCTGTGCGGCCGATTAGCTCTTTTGGACAGCGCTGAGTCGCCCACGTGGGTGAATCTGCGACTGCGCAGCCTCTTAATGCTGCGTCGCTGATATCGGCAAGTCCACCGCTGGAGATCGCTGCTATCGCGGCGACACCCTATAAACAAGCCGGCATTGACGCCCACTCTTCACTGGCAGCAGCGGCATCGCATGAGCGTCATCTAAACCTGAATCCTCTGTTTTAACGCAGGTATTCCGACGTCAATTTTTTCTCTTGTTAATTTTTCACTGCTGCTGCTGCTGCTGCCATCAAGTGTATCTTTTCTTCTCGCTTTTTTTTTTTTTTTTTTTTTTCTCCTGAGTGTGTTTCTTACTTGTACCATGCCGACGAATGCAGAACTGTCAAAACAAGTTGAGGCGTTGGAAGACAAGCTTAACAATATAGCTAAAGGTACAAGTGAGCTCATCTTTGGTAAGATCCTGCTGAGAATGAAGGAATCTGGGATCGACGTTGTTGAACTTAAGAGAGAAGTTGACTCGCTGAGTTCCAGTGTTGAGCATTTGAATGGACTTCTTGAGGATATGCGGTGCAAAAATTCTGCGTTGTCCGATGAAAATACGCAACTCCGATCCCAGAACCAATCATTGACCCGCAGGGTCGAGGAGCTTGAGCAGTACTCTCGTCTCAGCAATGTCGAGATCAAGGGCATTCCATGTACCCAAGGAGAAGACTGTGTTGAAATCCTGAAAACAGTGGGGGACAAAATTGGTTGTCCCATTTTGCCCTATGATCTCGATATTGTTCATCGCGTGCCTACCCGATCTATTGACAAGAAAAACATCATTGCTCGATTTTGTTCTAGAACCAAGAAGGCCGATTTTGTTAGCAAAGCGCGTAAAGCCAGGCTCTGTCTTAGTGATATAGGGTTGTCTAGTCAGTCCAAATTTCCCGTATTTGTAAATGAGCATCTCACTGCCTGTAACAAGACTCTCTTCTCCAAAGCTCTTTCATTGAAAAAAGAAAAAAAATGGTTGTTCCTGTGGACTGACAACTGCCAAATTAAGGCCAGGAAAACAACTACTAGTAAAGTTCTACGCATTCGGGACGAATCTGACCTAAACAAAATAGTATAAAGCTGTTTGTTCATACTTTGGATAGTACAATCATGGCTTCCGTACTAAAACCAGATCAATTGCACTCTTTTCTGAATGGATTTCATTCCATTATTCACTTTAATGCAAGAAGTCTTCATAAACGGTTTGACATCATTGACGGTTTCCTCACTTCACTTTCTTGTTCATTTTCAATGATTGCCATCACTGAAACTTGGTTGTCTGACGATGACAAAAATCTATATTGCTTTCATAACTTTAATTCTGAATACTGCAACAGAATAACCAGTAATTACGGTGGTGCTGCCATATTTGTTTCTTCTGGAATAGCTTATCGTAGAAGACATGACCTATTCTTAACCGTTGATAACTGTGAGTCTGTTTGGGTTGAAATAGATAACTGCTTTTTGACTGGTGACAATAAGAACCTCATATTTGGTTGTGTTTACCGTTCTCCTTCATCACCAATTAGTGATTTCTGTACTAATCTCGACCATATTTTGCATAAAATTTCAATAGAAAATAAAAATGTTGTCATAATGGGTGATTTCAACATTAATTTACTAGATGAAGGATCACCCATCTGTATCAACTATACTAGTCTGCTTCATGGTTACGGATATGATTGCCTGATTGACGCTCCCACGCGTGAAGATTTTTCAGGCTCATGTACACTCATCGATCATGCTCTCTCTAACTTACTAGACCCACCAGAGGCAAAAGTTTTACACATTGACATCAGTGATCATTACCCCATCATCCTACGCTTCAATACTAATGCTCGACCGCATTCCTTTTCTCACACAAGATATGTGCTGGACAAAGAAAGTTTTAAAACGGCTGTTGCTAACACTAACTGGACTGAAATTAAGTCAATAATCAACCCACAGAAAGCTTTTTCTAAATTTCTTTCACTAATTTCAACGCATTTAATGAAATTCACTTTCAAAACAAAATGTAAAAAAATCATCGCCTTCTCTCATAATCCATGGCTTTCGCAACAGCTATTAACAGAAATGCGCAAACGAGATAACTTGTATAGAAAAACTAAAAAACAACCTTTAATAAGAACTTAAGTGCCCGATATAAAATCTTCTGCAATGCTCTTAACTACAAACTTAAAACTGCCAAAAGACTTTATTTTGAAGAAAGAATCCAACATGCTTCTAGTACTAAAAAGAAATGGGAGATTGTGAACTCTTTTTTAAACAGGAACTCGAGACAAGACGAGGTACGTCGAATTATAATTGATGGAGTAGAATATGATTCCCCTTCAGAAGTAGCTGAGGCTTTTAGCAACTTCTTCTTCCCTGATAATACCAATTCTCCTACAGAAAGCATTAACACTTCTCGCTTACCCCACTCATTCTTTTTATTTCCTACAATACCGGATGAAATAACTGATGTTATTCGTAATTTAAAAATGACTAGTGCTGGCATAGATGAGATCCATCCTGCTAACATAAAATCTATTGTGCATATAATATCAGACATTCTTTCATTTATTGTTAATTTGATGTTCAAGAATGGTGTATTCCCTTATGAATTAAAGCGTGGCAAAGTTATCCCTGTTTTTAAAAAGGGGGATAAATCATTACTAAACAACTACCGTCCTATTTGTATTTTACCATTCCTTGGAAAAGTGGTTGAGAAACTCATTGAGACACGACTAACTAAATATCTTTCCAAGTTTAACATTATCTCTTCCTCTCAGTTTGGTTTTCGCCATGGCTACTCAACAGAGATGGCGCTTATTCATCTTACTGATCAGATAAAAAAATTAATAGACGAAGGACGCCTAGTTGCCTCAATATTCATCGATCTAACAAAAGCATTTGACAGCATAAATCATAATATTCTGTTCACTAAACTGGAGTCCATTGGCATTTGCGGCCCTGCTCTTTCATTACTAAAAAGCTACTTACACAACAGAGTTCAAGTTGTTTCTATTTCCAACGTCTATTCCCGACAGCGAACCACTAACATTGGTGTGCCCCAAGGCTCCATTTTGGGGCCACTTCTGTTTTTGATTTATATTAATGATTTGCCCAAGTGTCTGTCTTCATCACAATGCATTTTGTACGCCGACGATACCACCATATTCACCTCTCATAAAGACATCTCATCTCTTGTAACCATTTTGAATACTGACTTAGAAAGTATTTTCAAATGGTGTAATACTAATATGTTGTCTATTAATGCTTCTAAAACCAAGTTTGTTGTTTTCACCTCACACCAGCGGAATGTAACATCAGCACCTAATATTACTTTTGGCCCCCACTCTATCTCTCCTTGCTCATTTTCTTCCTTCCTTGGCATCCTTCTAGATTGCAATTTAAAATATCAGAGACATATTGCTCACATAAAAAAAAAATTAGCATATGGTATAAGAGTCTTGGTAAAAACGCGCCCGTACTTCTCACGCAGCACATTACTATCCCTCTATCACTCTTTCGTACATTCTCATTTTACCTACGGTATAACATGTTGGGGCAATACTTACAATACTCACATTTCGTCTCTTCAAATCGTCCAAAATCATGCTATTCGACTAATTACATTCAGCCCACGTTTTTCTAATGCTAAATTTTTACTACATGAAAATAACATCCTTACTCTCACTGAACTTACTAAGTTCAACCTTGGCATTTTTTCTACAGACTTCTTAATAATCAACTTCCCCCTACCATTTTCCCGTCTTCTGATCTTGTTATTTATAGTAATACCCGATTTGCACTAAACAATAACTTCCTTCTACCCAGTATACGTACTAATTATGGCAAACAAACTGTTAAATTCACTTCTATCTCATTGTGGAATACTCTTCCACTTAACATAAAATCTATCAGTTCATTTCATCAATTTAAGAAACAGTATAAATTGTATTTGCTTCATGCGGACTAACCATAAGACTTACTGCTTGTTTTATTTGACGTATGCTTTTGTTTGGTCTGTTTTTTGTATTTCTTTTTATTTGTTTTTTTTTTTATTTCCTTTTATTATTTAGTTTTGTATATTGATTGTTAAACTGTTCTATCGCTTTTTTTTTTTTTTTTTTGTACTTCACACCTTTATTTTGTTTTCTCTATTTTTTATGCGCTCAGTTGTACGCTTTGATTTATATTTACGCTCCTGTTGCTTTAATGTGTACGCAATCGTGGTTAGTTCGGGGATTTATTTTGCCTGGGGGGTGTAAATATTTGAACTTATCAATCTTAAGTTGATCGTGAATTATTTGGAAGAATACCTTCAGCCTATATTTTTTTCTCCGCAGTTCAAGAGTATCTAAGTTGCATCTCTGTAACATCAGCGTGACCGATTCCTTTCTTCGGTATGTTGAACAAATAAAACGTGCCGCCAGTCTTTGTATTCTTTCCAGCTTCTTCTTAAGGGTCGCTTGATGGGGACTCCAAACAACGGCTGAGTATTCTAGTATCGTCCTAATGAAGGTGGTGTATGCAATATGTTTTACGTCACGCGATGCATGTTCCAGTTTTTTCCTCAATATGTACAACTTTTGATAGGCTATCGTGCAAACGTTATCTATATGTTCAGTCCATGACAATTTTCGCGTAATTGTTACCCCGAGATAATTGAACTGTTGCGCATTCACCAACAAGTGTCCACCAATGCTGTACGGAAAGGAATGGATAGTTTTCCTTTTACTGATGTGTGTATATGTAGATTTAGAATAATTTATTGACATTTTCCATTTCCTACACCAATTATCTAACTTTTTCAAACAATTCTGAACTTTCAATTGGTCATCTAACTTGGTAATTGTGGCGTAGATTAGGCAGTCGTCTGCAAAAAGTTTAACTTGGACACCCTCTTCTGCCGCCACACTACTGATGTCATTGATATAGAGGAGAAACAATAGTGGTCCCAATACTGAGCCTTGGGGCACCCCTGAAAGTACAGCTAAAGGATCTGATACATGGCCATCCAGTTTTACTACCTGCGTACGGTTTGTTAAATATGCTTCAATCCATTTTATTACGAGCTCATTTATTCCTGCATTACGTAATTTGAAGATTAATTGGACATGGGGTACTTTATCGAACGCCTTCGCAAAATCCACGCAAACCACATCAACCTGTTGTCTTATATCTACAGCAGCCGCAAAATCATGGATTGTTTCTATTAACTGTGTCACGGTTGATAACCCGGTCCTGAAGCCATGTTGATAAGGATACAGCAAAGTGTTCTGATCTAGGAACCTGAGTATATGTTTTGCCATTATATGTTCGAACAGTTTGCAGGTAACTGAAGTAAGTGACACTGGACGGTAATTTGTAGCCTGTTTTCGGTTGCCTCCTTTAAATACAGGAATGACGAATGCGGTGCGCCAATCTTGTGGCAGTGAGTGCATTGTATATGTTTTTTGAAAGATGATAGTCAGATAATGTGACATCCATTCTGCATATCGCTTGGGGAATACAGTTGGTATACCGTCGGGACCGCTCGATTTTTTCGTGTCTAATTTGAGTAGTTGTTGAAATACGCCTTCCCTAGCTATTTCGAGTGTTTCCATTGGAACAGTGGGAAGAATTCTTAAGGCTTCTTCCGTACTCGCTGTAGTTTCCAGTGGGTTAAATACAGACTGAAAAAAGTTGTTGAAATGGTTTGCTATCTCATCTTTTTTTCTTATAATGTTACTACCAACATGAATTTCATCAACTGTTTCTTTCCTGTCGCTAAAATACCGCCAAAATTTCTGAGGTGAAGACCTGAGGAACTCACTGAGGTTTTTTTCAAAAAATGTTTGTTTAGATGTGGCCAAGGTACGCCTGAGTTCAGTTTTTAAATTTCTCAGAACCACTGGCGTCGTGCTCCCCTTACGCAGTCTCTTAAGTTTCCTCTTCATATGAATTATATCTCGGGTGATCCAAGGACTTCTCTGTTTCGTTTTTTTAACGCGTGATGGAACATATTTGGCTATGCAGTAACGTATAATACATTTGAATTCTTGCCATAGCTCTTCTACTGATTTTAAACCCGAGATGCTTTCGAAATTATCC